GGAATTTGGACCAGATAGGGAAAAGGATGGAGTCAGGACGGACCTGATTTAAAAAGGTAAAGGAGGGTAGGGATCTTCACAAGGACATAGCACTTCCCAGTTTGTAATTCTACATGTTTTCTTTTTGTTGTTGTTGTTGTTGTTGTTGTTGTTGGTTTACTTGTATGTTGCTTCCTCTCCCGACTAGATTCTAAGAAGACAGGCACTATGTTGTTTTGCTTATGACTCTTTCCAACACTCAACATGTAGTATGTGTTCAATACAGCTTTGTTGATTGTATGGGTGAAAAAAAAAATGCATGCTTTCACCTCTGACTCTTCTTCTTTAAGCTCTCCTCATTCCTTGAGATTCAGACCAAGCCTAAACTCTCCTATAACACTTTCTCCAGTGATTAATAAATCTAAACTCCTATAGTTGTTAAAGTCTTACAGTATAATTAACTTTTTTGATGTATAGATTAGTATAATCACCACCGCAATTAGGGATTAGAGCAGTTAACTTTCTTGCTATTCCCACCCTCTTTGAACCACTGATCTGTTCTCAATGCCTATTATTACATCTTTCCTAGAAAAAAAGATGCATATATATGTATACATATTCTATGATTTACGTAAGTGATATCTACATATAAATGGAATAATACAGTATGCAATCTTTCAGGATTAACCTTTTTCACACAGCGTAATTCTCTGGAGATTCTTCTAAGTTGTTGTATGTGTCAATAGTTTACTGTTTTTAGCGCTGAGTAGTATTTCATGGTATGAATGTATCACATTTTGTACAACTTTTCACTGTTAAAGGGAATTTAGATTTTATCCAGTTATTGGCTCTTATTAATAAAATTGCTACGACTATGTGTATAGAGGCATTGATTGATTGATTGATTGAGGCAGAGTCTCGCTCTGTCACTTAGGCTGGAGTTCAGTGGCACGATCTTGGCTAACTGCAACCTCTGCCCCCCAGGTTCAAGTGATTCTCGTGCATCAGCCTCCTGAGTAGCTGGGATTACAGGTGCCTGCCACCACACTAAGCTAATTTTTGTATTTTTAGCACAGATACGTTTTGCCATATTGGTCAGGCTGGTCTCAAACTCCTGACCTCAAGTGATCCACCTGCCTTGGCCTCCTAGTGTGCTAGGATTACAGGTGCTGTGTAGAAGCTTTTGTGTGAACATTGTTCACATTTCTCTATGGTAGATACCTAGAACTAGAATTTCTGGATCATACAGTAAGGAGATATTTAACTTTATAAGGAACTGACAAACTTTTTTCCAGAGTGTCTGAACCATTTTACATTCCCATCAGCAAAGTGTGAGTGATTTAGTTGTTCCACATCCTTGCCAGCATTTGGTGTTACCACTGATTTTTAAAGGCCATTGTGACAGGTATGTAACGATATCTCGTTGTAATTTTGATTTGCATTTTCTAAATGGCTAATAATGTTTAACATCTATCATATGTTTATTTGTCATTCTTATATCTTGTGTTGTGAAATATCAGTTCAGATTTTTTGCCTATTTTTAATTGGGTTGTTTTTATTTTGTTAAAATTTAAGTGTTCTTTATGTATTTTGGATACAAGAGTGAAGCCTTGACTACTACGGTCAGTCCCAGGCTCTCTGAGGAAATTATATTTAGGCTGATACTTGAATGTAGCATAGAAATCAGCCATATTAAGAAAGCTACAGGACAGCTTCAACTGCAGGTGTAAATACCTTGAGACAGGAATGATCTCAGTGTATTTAAGGAATAAGAAGAAGACAGTGTGGCTGTAGTATACTAAGAAAGATGAAGAATAATAAGAAATGAGTTTGTAGATATAAAGAAGGATAAGTAAGATAATGTAGAGTCTCGCAAGCCATGGTAGGGAATTTTTATTTAGTTTTACTCACAGTGAGGAGCTGTTGCAGAGATGTGGCATGGCTTACATTGTATTTTAAAAGGTTACACTTGTTGTTATGTGAATCACATGTTATGAGAGGAACAAGATAGGTGACGATTGTAGTTTTTCAAGTGACAGAAGATAATGGCACAGACTATGGTGGTAGCATATACTTTTCAGGTAGATCCCTCAGAATTTTGATGATGGATATGAGATGTGAGGGAGTGAGAATAATCAAAGATAACTCTTGAGGTTTTGGCTTTCATAACTGGTGGCACTCTCTAGTGAGAGAAGGAAGACTGAAGAGGAGAAGGTTTGAGTGAGAGGTCAAATATTTATTTTTAATATGTTGAGTCTGAGATAAAAATTAGACAAATGGAGGTGCCAAGAAGACTGTTGAATAAGTCTTGAACTCAATGGAGAGGTTGGAGAGAAGTTCATGTAAACAGAACAACATGACAAAAGATACAGAGCTATGAAAGTATGAGGTATGACCAGAGGTGAGCAAGTGGTTAGGTTTGACCAGTATATATTTTGTAGAACCAGAAAGAGTAAGAGACATTGCTGGAAAGGCAGGCCAGGGCTGAGTTAGAGAGGGCTTAGCTGATGGGGAAATTTTTGGAATTTATTATTTGAATATGAGAGAGCCATTACAGGTCTTTTAAAAAAGGTGTGACATGAACAAAGAAAGATTTTTGAAAGATTAATATCACACAGCCAAAACAATGTCACAAAAGAAAAACAAAGTTGGAGAACTCATACTTACTGGTTTCTAAACTTATTACAAAGCGTAGAACTCAAGACTGTGTGGCAGTGGCATAAGGATAGGCAGATAGATCAATAGAATAGAATTGAAGATCCAGAAATAAACCCTCTCATTTTGGTCAATTGATTTTCAACAAAAGTGCCAAGACCTTTCAATGGAAAAAAAATAGTCTTTTCAATAAATGGTGCAGAGGCAACTGAATATCCACATACAAAACTATGAAATTGAACCTCTAACTCACAACATACAGAAAAATCAAAATCAACTCAAAATGGATCAAAGACCCAAATATAAAAGCTAAAGCTATACTTCTAGGAGAAAATAAATGAGCAAACATTCATAACCTTGGATTAGGCAATGGTTTCCTTTATACACCACTAAAAGCATAAGTGAACAAATAAATTGAAATAGCTTAAAATTTAAAGTATCCTTTAAAGGACACCATAAAAAGTGAAAAGGCAATCCACAGGACATGAAATAATTCCATAATCATATGTCTGATAAGGGACTTGTATCCAGAATCCATAAAGAACTATTGCTTGATGTCATTGTTATTTGACAATGCTATTATCAAAAAACACATAACCCGATTTAAAATGGGCAAAGGATTTGAATAAACATTGCTCCCAAGAAGATGTTAAAATGGCTATTAAGCACAAGAGAAGATGCTCAATATTGTTAGCCATCAGAGAATTGGAAATAAAAACTGTAGTGAGATAACACTTTTCACATGCTAGGATAACGAAAATAATTTTTTTTAAAAAGCAGACAATAGCTAGTGTTCATGCAGATGTTGAGAAATTGGAACCCTAATATGTTGCTGGTGAGAATGCAAAATGGTGCAGGTGCTTTGGAAGCAGTTTGGCAATTCTTTAAGTGGTTAAACACAGCGTTACCATAAACTCAGGAATAAATGAAAACATATATCCACATAAAAACTTGTAAACAAATGCTGATAGCAGCACTATTCATAATAACTAAAAAGTGGAAATGACCCAAATGTTCATCAACTGAAGAATGAATGAATAAAATGTGGTGTATCTATTCAATGGAATGTTTGTCAATAAACACAATTAAGTATTGATATGTGCTACAACGTGGATGGACAATGAAAGCATATTAAATAAAAAATCAGCCACAAAATGAAATGTATGATATAATTCAGTATCTATGGAATGCCCAAAGTGGACAAGTCTATAGAGACAGAAAGTAGAATATTGATTACCTTGGGTGGGGTGTGGTGGGGGTGGGTGGGTGGATGAGAGGGTGAGGGCAGTACAGGAGTTCTTTTGGTGGTAATGAAATGCAAAATGAATCGTAGTGGTTACAAACTTCTGGTAATATACTAAAAAACATTGAATTGAACATTTTAAATGGTTGAATTGTATTGTATGCAAATTATATCTCAATAAAGTTGTTAGAAAAGATTAATGTAACATTATTTGGAAGATGAATTGGAGAGGGCAAGGCTGGAGGCAGAGAAACATGTTAGGAGGCTTTGTAATGGTTCAGTTAAGAAAACAAGGGTCTAAACTAGGGCAAGAGTAATGATAATTGAAAGGAGAAGAGGATGGTTCTAAAATATAATGTAGAGGTAGAATCAATAAGACCTGCCATTTGGTTAGATATTGAATTACGAAAGTGAAGAAGTAAAGAAGATTAAAGTTTTGAGTCTGAGTAAGTACAAGAGTGATAGTGTTATTTCTAGATAGACACTGGGAGCACAGATTGGGAAAGAAGGTGGTTTTTCAAAGGAGGGAAGTGAGTTCATACAATCTATTTTCCTGGTGCTGTCAGGACAATCTTTAAAATATATTCAGTATCTAATAGAATATTTGGAGTTGGAGCAGAGTAACAAGGTGAGTCTGGCTGGAACTAAGTATTTAAGAGTCATCGATGCACAGATCATAGTTGACATCAGAAAGGTGACTAAAGGTTCCAAGGAGAGAGTATGGAAAGAGAGAAGAGAACTGAGACAGAACTTTGTGCAAACAACTGCATTTAGGAGACAGCAGCTGGAAAAAATAAACCAAAGCAGAGAACCTCACCCTGCCTCCCCCCATCCCCTGCCTTCCCCGCAAAGATAAAGAGGATATTAAAGGCAGGGAAAAAAAGTAGCAAGGCTGCCTTACCAGAGTATTGGACCTGGGCCTTTGAGGAAAGGGAAAGCAGAAAAGAAAGGTTGAGGGTGTCCCAGGAGGGAGAAGCTCAAGGTCACAAAAATAAAATGATGGAGAAAGGATGAAGATCTTAAAGAGGATGGGATTCACCCACCACTGCCTCTTGGGGAGACCTGGGAATTGAGAGAAATTTCTGACCCAGTGCAACTGGAGGTTCCTTGTTACACTTCCTAGGTGAGGTGCTCACTTATCAGTGGAACATCCCAGAGAGATCTGGCCCTGGGCCCAATGACTCTGCTTGTGTTTCCTGGATCTATTATTCTGCAGTGGATCCCATCAAGGTAAATACAAGATTGGCTACCTGGAAGTGGGTCAAACTCCCGGCACAAAGAAGCTATTAACCAGGTGTAGTAAGAAGCTTGCTCCTGAGATACTACAGCCTAGAATTTGGGGAACATTCCTCAAAAGCTGGACTTATTTTAATAGACAGGAGGAGGGAGGAAGGGAATGGGCAGCACCAGATACTTGTCACGAAGATTTTCTTTCTTATCTTTTCATTTTGGATCCTATATAGTAACATGCTCTCATTACAAAAAAAACAAACACACAAGCAAACAGAAAACACAAAAGAAACCTGGGGTTGGTTGTACAGAGATTGAGGCTCTAGTCCCAAATTTGGTTATAGCATGCTTTTAGAATGACCTTAAATAAATCATTCTGCCTCTGTTTCCTCGTCTGGAAAATGGATTTATCGATCTAGCCATCCATCTACAGCCAGCCATTAACAATCATTTATTGAGTGCCTACCACATTTTAGGCATTTTACTTGGTGCTTTGGATGATATAAATTTAAGATACATTTCCACCTTCAAAGAGTATTGTCTAGTTAAGCAAGAGAGAACCTGGAGAAGGCATCACAATGGGAGGTGCATGTACTCTTGGCCTTAAAAGCTGAGTCACATTATGCCATCAGATAAGCGATATGATGATGGGGAGGGCATTGCAGGCAGAGGAAACAGCACAAAAAAGACACTAGGTTGTAAAGATGCTGGGTAGGCTAAGAGGTCAATAAATACTTTAGCTTAGATAAAGCATAGGTCAGATAGTGCATCTTAACTAAGTCCCAAGATAATTGTTAGAATGAATTCAAATAACATAGTGGGGTACTTATAAATGTAAGATATCATGAGGAAATGCTGAGAGGCACAGTGGGCCTGTATGAGAAACTGGCTCCCTGCAGAGTACTGCTACCCAGAAACAACTCCATCTCTTTCTGTCTCTCCCACTTCCTCCCTTCCTCAGGACATGTATAGTGGCCTGGTGGGGCCCTTGACTATCTGCCGAAAGGGCATCCTGGAGCCCCACGGAGGACGGAGTGACATGGATCGGGAATTTGCGTTGTTGTTTTTGATTTTTGATGAAAATCAGTCTTGGTATTTGGAGGAAAATGTGGCAACCCATGGGTCCCAGGATCCAGGCAGTATTAATCTACAGGATGAAACTTTCTTGGAGAGTAATAAAATGCATGGTCAGTAGTAAAAAACCTACTCTTTTTCCAAAGCAGTCCCTACCGGTTACATGGGGATATCTAATAGGCCTATTACTATCTAAGGGAACATAATCCCAGAAAGGACACGAACATGGTAAGGTGAAATGAGAATGAGTCAGAAGAAGCATTTCCTACTATCGTACATTTACATATACAAAGGCAGATATGTGGTCCAGGTTAGATTGGGTGCCCAGAAAGCAGGAAGTTGACTGTGTAAAGTTGCCATGGTGATACCAGCAAATTTTAACATATTAGAGAAGGCAAAATTGACATGTATGACCTTGAATGTACTTGTCAAGCTGACTGCTTAGTGCCTCTCTATTTTAAAACCCTGAGTTTAGTCTCCCAATATCATCTTATTTATTTACTGCTCTAAATTTGGGACCAGTTATCTCAATGGATTCTAATACAGCCAGATGAAAGCTTGTATTTTAGTCGCTTTTTAAAATAGTTTCCATTTATAGATGGAAGAATTGAAGAAGACAGCCTCAGTGAGAAGCATACTGGATTTATGTCAGATACAGGGAAGAACTTTCCGGTACTTGAATGGATTTTGGAGAGAAATTGTGCATCAAAGCCTTCCTTTGCTCGAGAGATCTGTGTAGCTTTTCAAAAACAAGAGAAAGAGGGGAGAGCATAAGTGCAGTAGAATGAAGTGATCTCTCACTATTCCTTCTAGCCTAAGATTTCTTTGATCTGAGGATGTGTACCTTTGATAGTGATTCTAATGGAACTAAAAAGTAGTATATTATTATCCCACAGATTTTAGCTATTTCTCCCTGATGGAGTGATGAATGATTCACATTACAACAGATGATTCACACACTTCACAGGGCAGACATTTTAACACCTGTCAAATCAAAGAAATGACCCAGGACAAAAAGGGAAAGAGGGCACAGTTACATCCTGTTAATGCAGGGGTTTGGCTAATGCTTACTTTCTTCTGCTTGTTTATGTGTCTATCCACACTCTTCAGGTATAAATATACCTACATTTCCATCTAGCAGGTATTTGTTGTGCAGTTTCGGAGTGCTAGCACTGGAGATATTTGCATCTGAGGGGTAAATAAATAATATCCCTCTCTTCCTTTTCAGGTTCCTGAACCAACTGAGAAAGACAGATGCTTAAGATCAAATGTGAACCTTATTACTAAGAAGGCTAATGGAAAAACTGATTTCAGTTCTACAACTAAATAGGCTTACTCACACTTCTCTGGCAACAGATAGACATTTCTACCTTGTCATTGACATAGATGGACAGCAATACTCTCCTCTTTGGCAGAGGGAGAATCATACCCACAGTGAAATAATGAATCAGCTATTGCCCATTTCTGTGGCCCGACTGATGAGTGAGAGGAAACATCAATAAGAGGATGAGTTGATCATGTTTAGTTTCCTCTCTGAAATCCACAATTTGGTAGACACAGAGACGGATTATAAATGATTGCTTCCTCTCTTGAGGAATGAAGTGGAAATTATCTTCCCTCTGTAAGAACATGAGAAGTGGGGGAAAATTGTCCAGGGAAAAGTCCTGGAAGTGTGAATTTTTATAACAATAAGTACTTTGATGTCCTTGGAGCATAAGATGTGGCCTGGGAAGAGACCCATACATTAATATCATTATTAATCCCAGGCATTAATATCACTATTCTATGCATTAATGTTATTAATTCCATGAATGTGGCAGGTCTTTTTTTTAACATTTAATGTTGACTCAGCTGTCTACTGGGTGTTCTGAAAAAACACAAGGAAGCCATAGTAATGCAGTGTATACATACATCCTTTTCTGCATATTAGGAACCTATAGTCTAATTAGAGATGTAAGCTTTCACACATGAAAAGACAGGTAAATGTAGAAGACAATTTCTTATGAGTTCCAATGAGTCATGAGACAGTACTGGAGGAGTTCACAGGTGGAAGGGCATGCAGGGAATGAGAGGTATGGAGAGGAACTAGGAGATCAGGAAAGTCTTTCTGGGGGAGTGAAGACTTGACTAGGCTTTAAAAATTTTATAAAAGAAGGCAGGATTTCTAGTAGGGAATCTTAGAAACACAAGGACAAAAAGAACATGCATAGACCATTTGAGGGATGGTGAAGAAATCACCCTAATTAGAATAAGCGTGTTGGGTAGTGGGAGTTAAGTCTGGGAAGGTGGTTTGAAGTTATATTTTGAAGGATCTTGTTGGGTGAAGTAAGGATCCATGGACTTGCTCTTTGGAGCAGGAGAGAGTTATTAAAATATTTGAAGCAGCAGAATTATGTCATCACATTCAGTTATTTAGAGAGATAATTTTGATAATATCAATGTAAGAAGATACCTTGAAAAGGGACAGATGGAATAAAGATGAGACAAATTAGGAGCCCATTGCTATCTTCGAGAAAAAAGATTTGGACCAGGTCAGTGGCAATGGGAAGTCAAAAGGAGAGATGTAAGAAGCTTCTTCTTCTTCTTCTTCTTCTTCTTCTTCTTCTTCTTCTTCTTCTTCTTCTTCTTCTTCTTCTTCTTCTTCTTCTTTTTTTTTTGACAGCAATCAATGGGAAACTCTATGCCAACCTTAGGGGTCTTACCATGTACCAAGGAGAACGAGTGGCCTGGTACATGCTGGGCATGGGCCAAGATGTGGACCTGCATACCATCCACTTTCATGCAGAGAGCTTCCTCTATCGGGTGAGCTGGAAAGGGGGCTGAGTCCCTCAAGGATGATTAGAACAGTGGTTTAGCAGCAATTGAGAAAAAGGGTAATAGCGTGGAACAAGGTAACAATTAGTTAAAAGAGCAGAGGTCTAGTACGTGGAGCACTGAGCTGGAAATTTTAGTCTGGCTGTATATCCCAGGGTCAATAACTTCCTGCTAGGCCCTAGCTTTCTCTTCTGATGTGGAAGAGAAAAAATGGTCCATTTATCGGTAAGGAGACTGAAGGAATCAATATCAAGACTCAATGTCAAGGACTCAATGTCAAGGAATCAATGTCAAGGACTTGAGACTCAATGAGCAGTGATTTTTAAGAACAAGGAATTTCAGAGTGGCATCTCAGAATTGCTGAAAGTCCTTTATCTATTAAAAGAAGAGCTTCAACTTAGAGGGCACATGGAACAATATGTAGATTTTGAAAACAGTTTAGTCTTAGGTAAAGGAGGAAGAGTTGGGGGCACTGATATAGACTTCGAGATTTAGAAGTGCTGAAAAAGACAATGGCAAAGATAACTTTATTTCAATCAATTTCTTTTCTTTTTTCTTTTTTTTTTTTTTTTTTTTTGAGATGGAGTCTCGCTCTGTCACCCAGGCTGGAGTGCAGTGGCCGGATCTCGGCTCACTGTAAGCTCCGCCTCAGCCTCCCGAGTGGCTGGGACTACAGGCGCCTGCCACCTCGCCTGGCTAATTTTTTTTGTATTTTTTGGTAGAGACGGGGTTTCACCGTGTTAGGCAGGATGGCCTCGATCTCCTGACCTCGTGATCCGCCCGTCTCGGCCTCCCAAAGTGCTGGGATTACAGGCTTGAGCCACCATGCCCGGCCTATTTGAATCAATTTCTAAAGGAAATATATGCCTCATTCATAGGGGTCAAAGCTTACACCAAATTCCTCATATTTTAGCCTGCTGAAAATTATAGATACTTGTTTTGAACTCTCTAAAGTAACCTAGAAATTATCTTACTTTGGGACACTTTAAGAGGAGAAAGTCACCTCTGTTGATTTAGTTTCTGTGGGTGGGTTCATTGGAGATACAAATAAAGTGGACTTTTTTTTTTTTTTTTTTTTTTGAGATGGAGTCTCACTCTGTCGTCCAGGCTGGAATGCAGTGGCGTGATCTCAGCTTACTGCAAGCTCCATCTCCCAGGTTCACACCATTCTACTGTTTCTGCCTCCCGAGTAGCTGGGACTGCAGGCGCCTGCCACCACGCCAGGCTAATTTTTTTTGTGTATTTTTTAGTAGAGACGAGATTTCACTGCGTTAGCCAGGATGGTTTCGATAAAGTAGACTTTTAAAGCCATTCACTGGTCTAGGAATCTTGGAGTCTCAGCTCCCTAATGTGGACATCACAAATTTTTAGTTCCTGAAAGCTCTAAGATGATCTTTATATCCTTCACTTCCTCTTTCTCATTCCCAATCTCTCTTGCAGAATGGTGAGAACTACCGGGCAGATGTGGTGGATCTGTTCCCAGGGACTTTTGAGGTGGTAGAGATGGTGGCCAGCAACCCTGGGACATGGTTGTTGCACTGCCATGTGACTGACCATGTCCATGCTGGCATGGAGACCCTCTTCACTGTTTTTTCTCGAACAGGTAAGTCCTAACTTCCCCAAAACGATCATCTTTTAACACTTTAGCCTATAGGAACCAGATAATACCAAAAAGCCTCTTGATTGTCTCCTTCTGATCCCAGAATAAGCATGTCTTAAGACAGAGCATAGACTCCCTCTAGATATTGCCCCAACTAATATTTCTAATCCTCCATTCCACCTGTCCCTCCATTGCCCCAACTGATATTTCTAATCCCCTGACACCTGTCCCTCTCCTAATTACTTCAAAACCTGTTGAGCTCGCATGGGTTGACCCAGCCTGAAACTGGTTTGGCTGTATGCATTGAAGTCTAGTGCAGGTCTGCTTCTTTTAAAATAAATTTAACTTATATACAAATGTATTACTTGACTGTATTAGAGTAACTGATTATTTCAAGGAATATTGTTAATTAGTTTTTCTAAAAAGAGAATAAAAATAAGTCTAACAGTCACCCATTAAATTAATTTGTTTTGTGGGGTTGTGAAAGGCAATTCTTTCCTTTTCTTTTCTTTTCTTTTCTTTTTTTTTTTTTTTTTAGAGTCAGAGCATTGATCTGTCACCCAGGCTGGAGTACAGTGGTGCAATCATGGCTCATTGGAGCTTCAGACTCTTAGGCTCAAGCGATCCTCCCACATCAGCCTCCCAAGTAGCTGGGACTGCAGGAATGTGCCACCACACAAGGCTAATTTTTATACTTTTTGTAGAGAAGAGGGTCTACCTATGTTACGCAGGCTGGTTCCAAACTCTTGGCCTCCTTCTGCAGCAGCAATCCTCCTGCCTTGGTCTCCCAAAGTGCTGGGATTGCAGGCATAAGCCACTGCACCTGGCCTAGCTTTTATCTTTAAGCACAGGGTTTTGCCTAGGCTGGTTTCAAATTTCTGGGCTCAAACCATCCTTCCACATCAGCCTCCCAAGTCACTGGGATTACAGGAATGAGCCCCCACATCTAGCAAGACAGTTCTTTTTGGTTTTTGAATGTCTTCATCTAAGGCTAGAAAGAGATATTGACCTTCAATTACAGCTTATCTCAGAGTTACTACCAAGGGTGGAAAAAACTTTTTCTTTATATTTTATATGGAGAGAGAGCAGCTGGGGCAATTTCTTTACCAGCCACTCTTTGTTCTTCACCAAAAAATGTAGATGGGTAGGCTGTGTTGGCTTTTGTGTCTTTGGGTAATTAAAGGGTCAAATATCTTACTTCTTAAGGTTCTTGACCCGAGTCCAGCTGCCAACACTATTTGCCTTCCAAGAAGCCCTATAGAGCCTTTTGGGGTCCACAGAAATCAAGGCTGTTTTTTTTTTTTTCCTATGCTTTTAAAGAATATATAGACACTATTTAAACAAAAATGGTATTCTGGGGTTGTCAGTCACTGGCACTCTATCAACAGGAATAGTGAATGGGAAAATGTCTTTGAATATTCAAATAAACTTAGCAAATGAGGGTAGAGAATACAAATCTTCTGTTTACCCTCAGGGAGGGAGATGAATGATTGTACATTATGACTTCCTATATCATTTAAAAGATTTATTCTCTGTCAACTAATACTCCTAGAATGCAGCTTCCACTTAACTACTCAGGAGCTATTCCCTAGCACTCAGATTTACAGAAACTTCTTTGTTTTGTTGTAAGTACATAGAACAAAAGTCAAGTGATCAATTGATACATCATCAGGGAGATATAGATCCAAGACAACAGGTTTTCTCTATATGTAGTAATGGGTTATCCCAAATATGAGCCATCCAATATATGAGTCCATTTCAATACATATTGCCAGGGTACTTCCATGAGGAAGTATAGCTCATGTCTCTCTGTGACAATGAGCCAGCCCATAAATATTTTCTATTTGCCTTTTTGGTTTTTTTTAAACCCACTATGGCCTAATTTCATGTTGTTTCAACTCCATATGCATTCACAGGTTAACAGGAAGGAAGAATTGAAAAGATAGAGGGAAAAGACTAATTCTTGAAACAAGGTTTCTGATAAGGCAGCAGGGAATGAGAATCAGAGCTAACATGAAAGATTAGTGCAAGAGTGGAGGAAAGTAATCTTTCTACTGTAAGAAGAAAGAAGACAGAAAATATAAGGATCAATGTGTAGGTTTGGCCAGGAGGGTTGACAGACTGACAGAGAATTTCAGCCTATGGTCTTTCTCTTCTCTCTGATGGAGCAAATAGAGTCATCTGCTGAGAATGAAGGGCAGGTGATAGGGTACAGGGTTTGAGAAAAGTGGACAAAAGTTTGAAATAGCCACTCTGGTGAATGGGAAATAAATTATCGCTAGGCAGCATTGATGATTTAGCTGAAATTGGACACGAAGAATATTAATCTTTACAATTGTGTGATTTTCTCTGGCAGCATTCAGCATACCAGACAAAATACAGGGAAATTACAGTTACTGGAGTTTGAGTAGATTATTGCAACACTCTTGGTAGATTAGGAGTTGAAGTGATAGACCTTGGAGTCTCACTTGGTCAGGAATGGAAGAAAAGACAGGATGAAGCTATTAGGTTGAGGAAAAAAATTGAAGGGTTTGAAAGCTAGAGGTCTCATGGCAGGGGAGGATAACAAGTTTTTGAAATACAGTATATTAGAGCACTGAAAGGATGGGAGGTTGTTGTTAGATTTTAGATTTCTGAGATGTAACAATTATTGACAACAAGGTTAATGTGACCATTTGAGTGGTTGGTAGAATTGGAGTAGACATCAAAGTTATTGGAGTTAAAAGGTCCAGAAACTGTGAGGCTTGAGTATTTGATAGGTCAGCACCCATGGCTGGAATTGAGGGAGAGGAAGACTGAGCCAGCTACTAAAGACTTCCATAAATGAAGAGAACTGCTAGCTAACAATAATAAGAAATGATTGTAGTTCTAGCCAAATAATATGAGCCTCAGAAGAGGTATATCTTTACAAAAAGAGGAGAAACAATTATCTCAAAGAAGCATTGAGGGGATGTAAATGAAATATGGTCCTCAGAGAAGAACTCAGCTTTATTAAATCAAGGAGAGGAAAAAGTGTTCTGAGAAGATGTTGAATGTGTAGGGAAGTATGTTTGACAAGGAGCAGGGATTTCCTGAAGGAAGTGTGGCAAATGGTGGGAAAAAGAGCAATAATGGGGATAGAGGAAGTGCCAAGAAATATATAAATAATAGCAGAGGGGTGATTTACATTTTGGACTCCAAGCCTGTTATCTTGCCCATATTTCATGTCACTGTTCAAAATCAAATCAACATGCTAATATTGACTTTGACTATAAAGTAGTAAATTCTACCTTTATTTTGCTTACTTTATCACAGAGAAATTCTGCAACCAATGTTGACCTTTCATAGGGGGTCTATGAATTGGTAGGAAGAACAACAAGGCTAACCTCTTGTCTTTTTTCCCCCCAACCAGAGCACTTAAGCACTATCACCACCATCACCAAAGAGGCTGAAAAAGGTACGTAAAATGATGCACAGACTGGGTAGTTATACGTAGTGTGTCTGTGTGTAGGGTTGGTTGAGGTACATTTAGGGAATGGGACTTATATGACTGAAAGTTAGAATACATCAGCAGAAAGTATCCTGAGACGTCTGCAAGACTTCAGAAGCCAAAGAATGAAGGTTTAACTTCCCTCAGCAGGTTAATTCTCTCTGGCTTCCACCCCAGACCTCCTGAGTTGGGGAAAACAGCCTCCTCCCCATTTAAAGGCTGCTGTTTTAGCTTTTCATCTAACATGTGAGAGGAGAAGAAAATTCTAGATGCTAGTCAAAAACCAAATACTGCATGTTCTCACTTATAAATGGGAGTTAAGCTATGAGTATGCAAAGGTATACAGAATGGCATAATGGACATTGGAGACTCAGAAGCAAGGAGAGTAGAAGAGCAGTGAGGAATAAAAAACTACCTGTTAGGTACAATGTACACTACTTGGGTAATGGGTGCCCTAAAATCTCAGACTTTATACCACTATACGATTCATCCATGTAACCAAAAACCACTTGTACTTGTACTCCTAAAGTTGTTGAATATATATATATATATATGTAAAATCTAGGTCCTGCTGGGTTGGATATGGAAAAGTTGTAGCACAAATATGAATTCCCCCTAGGGACAGTGTGAAACTAGGTGAAACACCACATGTTCTTCAACAGCTATTTTTATTCTTGCCTCTTTCCCTTTCATCTATGGAATACCAAGGACTTAAACCTTTGGAACCAGCCATTTCTGACATTGAATACTATAGAGATTATTTTTCTGCACAGCCCGGGTCCAAATAGTGTGTTATTCTCCACCTCATTTGTCTCTGGACTAGGAAAGATCCAGAAAGTTATGAGAGCTAAAAAGAACATTAGAGATAATTAGTAGTTTAGTCTGAGGTTTTACAGCTGTTTTGGAGAAGTCTTAATGATCTGCCTAAGTATCACATGGACTGTTAACCAGGGGACCAGGATATGCCCTGGAGGGGTTGGGGAGAAGTAAGGTGTGATTGTGTGGGTGGGCCTTCAGGCCATATCTCTTTCAACCTGAGCAACTCAATTATTTTATATATATTTAAATATTTTACATATATATTTGCATTCATACATACTTTGTGTGTATATTTGTATATATACATACATATTTTGTGTACATATATATATTACTCATAAGCTATCATTTGTTAAAAAGTTTTCACAATGGGGAAAAAAGCCTTTGAAACTGTTGTTCTAATAAAACCCAATAATTTTCTACATGACAAGCTGAGAAATTGAAAGTGATTTGTTGTGTCACAAAAGGAGTATGTGGTAGAATGTAAACTCAGAACCAGGAAGTTTCGAGCTTCTATTTGAACTCATTATATTCTGTCTTCTCTCAGTTGTGTTATAACATTAATTCATCCAGTTATACAATCATCAAAGAAGTGTCAGGTACCAGGGATATCAAAACAAGTAAGACATAGTCGCTATTTTTCAGCGTCTAAAAATGGAATGAGGCAGAGAAATAATAGTTGCAATGCTGGATGCTGTGTGCTGTACAAAAAGGGCAAACAATAATAACAGTTAACATTTATTGGGCACTTCCTGTCTGCTAGGTGCTATACTAGATATTTTATAAGTATTGATTCACTTAAATTTTACGATATGCCTTTGTAATAGGTATGGTTATTATTCTAATTTTATAAAAGAGGGAACTGAAGTTTAGATGGGAAGTGAGGGATTGGGTCACTTGGTCCAAGGTCACACAATAAGTAAATTATGAGAGTACAAGGTACAGGTGCTTGGAAAACATAAAGGAAAGAACAATTAATTTTCTAAGGAAGTCAAAGAAAACATTGCAGAGACATGTAACATTTAAGGTAGGGCTAGAAAGATAAGAAGGAGTAAAGTGTGTTCAGACAAAAGGATTAGCATAAGCAAAGTCTTAGAAGCCTGAAAGGGGATCACTGTTTATGAGGAGGAAAGAATGAGTTACTATGGCTGAAAAGTAGTAGATAGGACTAGAAGGATAGATTAGAGCCTGATAGTGAGAGTTGGAATGTCTGATTTAAAAGTCTGAGCTTTTCTCTGTAGGCTAATTGGGAATCATCAAAAATTTGTATGCCAAGAACTAACAATCAAATATTTCACTTGGAAAGGTCTATATGACATCAGTGTTAATATGACCTAAAGAGGTAAGACTGGACAGCCTAGTAGTAGGTTCTTGTCATAGTTTAATGGTCAAAATTGCTATTGATAAGCTGGATGATTGAGTCAAACTTCTTGCTGAAGTTTCCCTTATTGCTTCCAATTCTACCCTCTGAAACCATACAGAACAAGTAAAATTCATCCTTTTTTATATCACAGTCCTTTAGATATTTGAGAAAATGTATCAAGGGCCTTCCCAATCTGAGTCTTAGCTCTTTCCATGGGTGGCCTGGGGCCTCAGTGATTCTCAAGGACCCTTATAGCTGTAACATCATGTTTCCTTGATTCTTTACTTTAACCTCTAAATCCGTTTTCATCAGCTGGTTTTGTGAAGGATAAGGACAGGTCTCCTGTCCTATTTGGATTGACTTGTTTTGTCAGGTGATGAGTATAGAAAGTTACCTTTTAGAGTACACTCCATCTCAGGATGCCCATTTTTTTCTTTCTCCATTTCAGCAGTTACCCCCAGAGACATTGAAGAAGGCAATGTGAAGATGCTGGGCATGCAGATCCCCATAAAGAATGTTGAGATACTGGCCTCTGTTTTGGTTGCCATTGGTGTCACCCTCCTGCTTGTTGCTCTGGCTCTTGGTGGTATGGTTTGGTACCAACATCGACAGAGAAAGCTACGACGCAATAGGAGGTCCATCCTGGATGACAGCTTCAAGCTTCTGTCTTTCAAGCAGTAACATATGGAGCCTGGAGATATCCTCAGGAAGCACATCTGTAATGCACTCCCAGCAGGCCATTGACTAATCACTAACCCCAGTGTCAAAGGGGCATGGGTGGTGGGGGGCGGGAATTAAGCTTATCTGGATATTTCTTTCTTTCTTTATTTTACATGGAAATAATAGGATTTTACTTTTTCTTTAGTTTCTTTGCTCTACTTGGGCACCTGGGGCTAAGGGAATACTTTAGTATCAGTATCTTACATCACAAATTTCAACAGCTACATTATATTGCCTTCTGACACTTGGAAGGTCTTGAAATTTCTAGAAATGTATCCTTCTCACAAAGTGGATACTAAGAGAAAAACTCATTGATTGGGTTTCTACTTCTTTCAAGGACTCAGGAAAGTTCACTTTGAACTGAGGCCAAGTGAGCTCTTAAGATAACCCACATTTAAACTAAAGGCTAAGAATTTAGGCTTGATGGGAAATTGAAGGTAGTCTGAGGACTGGGAATCCAAATTGAATTTTGATTCTCCTTGGCAGTGAACTACTTTGGAGAAGTGGTGAATGGGTTGTTGCTGCTGTGAGCACGTACAACCTCTGGAGCCAGAAGCTCCTCAAGAAAGGCAGTCCTCCAGGTTCCTGAACAGTGGCACTGAAAGGAATGTTGAGTCACCTCTTCAAGTTTTAGACAGCAAACCCTATCCATTAAAGTACTTGTTAGAACCCTGAAAGACTGAATTTGGTGATTTTTGATGGTCTCTGTGACTTCTGTCTCTGTGATTGAAACAGAAAACACTTAGGGGGTGAGTGAGTATAGTATGCATTTGTCTAGCCTTTGTAGAACCTACAAGTTTTTGTTTTAGAAATGAGGAAACTGTTCCAGAGGAAGCATCAAAGAGTGTTGGGTACCACCCTAGAAAAGGAGCTATCGCATAAATGACAAAAATTTTCTGCATGCCAAGAAAATTTGTCAGAGGGAAATAGAAGTCTGAGATGAGACTCAAACTTGTCCAGTGGGACAGGAGAAGTAGGACTATATCTTGTGGGGCCTTTTTGGCAGTGGTGGTGTGAAAGGTCTAGTTGCAACTTTGGGGGCTTCCTTATAGGATGGAGTCATTCTTTCTGGTATTTTACAGCAATATTCCTTTGTTACATGCAAATTTGAGCCTCTGTAAAATATTGGTTAGAGAGCACAGATAAGTGATAAATTTTAAATTGGGTAAGATGGCCCACCCCACTGCAGTATCCATAATACTGTACCACATGGCAAGTGGAGAATAGAAGAGATATCAAGGAGAGTAAAGATGATAATTCAATTATGCACTGTTTTACACTTTAAAAAGCATTTTAATTCCTGATTGCATTGGGATTACCTCAGAGCAAGACATTTTACATTTGAGTAATGTTATACCCTTAATACATTTGAATGAACAAAACTTATGGACATTAAGTAACTTCATACAAGACCCCTCAGCTAGAAGTTGAACAGGGATTCAAATATTCATCTATTTGACTCCAAATACCTATTTCATCCTCCTATATCATGAAAACATCCACTAATCTCCATCCACCTTACCCATATTGATTACAGCTTTTCTGTCTGTCCAGCAATCTGTCTGTCTAGATAGCAACCTCTTGCAGATAAAATGTAGAAACCCACAGAGCTGGTGTTCAGTTAAAATATAATGTTAAAGTTTGGAGGGGAAAACACAATCCAGAGGGTATTATTCCTCTTATTTTTCCATGGTCAGTGGGTTCCTGTAGAGCTTTACTGGGAATCTCAGAAATACAATGTGGGTGGAAGGGGGATTTAGATGGCTAGTTATCCAAGGGTTAGTATTTAAGCCATTGCAGAATCAATGCATTTAACAGCAGCAGAACTCTTTTGGCCTGCAGTTAACATGGATGTTAATGAAGACCAAGTACATGCTAGGAATTCCAGTCAATTAATGGTTATATTTTACATGCAACTGGGAGGTTCTTAGCTTGGTCTCAGTTGTAAATCTAAGAGACTAGGAGTGGTAGATGAGATGGAGTGCATTTCTTCTTATTCTGTAATCTTACTCCAGGTCAAGGAATAGAAACTCAGAGCCCATGTATTTAAGAAAGAAATGTATTTCTGTTGTAAGTTTGCTCCAAGTAGGCATGCAAGTAGCTATTTTTGATAGTCAAGTGACATTGCCATTTATTCAGTTGCTCAAGTTGGAATTTTTTTTTTTTTTTTTTTTATACTTTAAGTTCTAGGGTACATGTGCATAAGGTGCAGGTTTGTTACATATGTGAATACTTGTGCCATGTTGGTGTGCTGCACACATCAACTTGTCAGCACCTACCAACACGTCATTTACATCAGGTATAACTCCCAATGCAATCCTTCCCCTCTCCCCCCTCCCCGTGATAGGCCCCAGTGTATGATGTTCCCCTTCCTGAGTCCAAGTGATCTCATTACTCAGTTCCCACCTATGAGTGAGAACATGTGGTGTTTGGTTTTCTGTTCTTATGATAGTTTGCTGAGAATGATGGTTTTCAGCTGCATCCATGTCCCTACAAAGGACACAAACTCATTCTTTTTTATGGCTGAATAGTATTCCATATTGTATATGTGCCACATTTTCTTAATCCAGTCTGTCACTGATGGACGTTTGGGTTGATTCCAAGTCTTTGCTATTGTGAATAGTGCCGCAATAAACATACGTGTGCATGTGTCTTTATAGCATAATCTGTATCTTTGTGGTGAATCTGTCAATGTAGTGGATGGTCTTGGAGTTGCTCTTGCTCTTTTCTCTCGAGGTAGTTATCTTTGTGGCATCCTGCGCGGTATTTGTCTCTCGGCGAATTTGAAGTGGTCCCTGCGTCTAGCTAGTGGGAAGGTTTCTCTCTGTATTGACTAGTTCCTGAAGAGTGTTTGTTCCAGCTTGTTCCGTATTTTCCCCTCTCACTTTTCCAGGCATTCTTCAATCACTAGATTTGGTCTTTTTTTACATAATCACGATTTATTCTTGCAGCTTGTTGTTTCATTTCTTTCTTCATTTTTTCTTTAGATATCTTTCTTTTCTATCGTTCATTTCTATTCATTTGATCACTCTTCGCTTTGATTAACGCGTGTCTTCCAGTTGATCTGGGTCGTACTGAACGCTGTGCAGTTTGTCACTTGTTTCGTATTTCTCTGTCTCATGGTTTCATGCTCTGTCCATCTCGTGTATGCCTCTCTGCATTAATTTCTGGTTACATCGAATTTCTGTCCACT